TGGTTATTGGCCTCCCTCTCAGCTTGTTCCTGCTGCATGGCAGCCAGACTCTCTCTGCTCACCACCTGTTTGAGAACACGTTGCATTAAGAACACACATTTCGCTGGAACATTTTACAGATTGCATGTAAAAATATACTGTACATACATCCATTACTGCAAGATTTAATCATGTGCAATTGAATCATTAAATATACCATTTTTTATTAAAAAGAAAAAAAAAATTGTACAGATAAATTTTACTTGGTATCTAAAAAGGTTTTCTAAACCTTAAACTAAAAAAAAATAGTGAATATACATACATTATTCACTATATGGCCAAAAGTATGTGGACACCTGACCATTACACCCATGTACAATTGTGTTGTGTGAGAAAATCCCAGGATGACAGCAGTTACTCAAACCAGCCAATCTAGTACCAACAACCATGCCACGATCACAGAAAACATACGTTTTCTTCATTCGGATGATTGATGTGAACATTAACTGAAGCTCTTGACCTGTATCTGCGTGATTGTTTGCATTGCGCTGTTGCCACATGATTGGCTAACCAGATAAATGCATGAATGTGCAGGTGTACAGGTGTTCCTATTGAAGTGGACGGTGTGTGTGTTTTTATATATATATATATATATATATATATATATATATATATATATATATATATATATATAAAAATATAAAAATCAACCATCTAATCTCTCGACACACTCAACTGGTGTCCACGTATGTGCAGCTGAGGCATTTCACAAACAAATACAAAGACAAATACACTTGTGTGTGCTTGTGTATGAAGGCTTCCACAATTAGTCAGTGCATGTCATGGAAACAGGACACCACAAAGTATAAACAATGTTCTGAGCAGAACTGCACCAGGTTGTTTAGAAAGCCTGTCAGGGCAAGGATAGGAGAACATTTCAACTCAATATACCTCAATGCACACCACAGTCACATCCATAAAAAGTGAAAAAAAATGTCATCCCATCATCCCAGCAATAACTATACTCTACAACTGAGAATCTGGGCTGAAAGGTTTTTTTTTGCTATATTTTTTCATTAATTATTCTGTCCATTCTGTCTGCTTAGTTGGTAGAATTTTTGACATTACAGAGAACAGTGTGTTGATGAGGGGCAAACAGGAAATACTGTGCAAATGTCTGCTGAAATATTTGACAGGTCATATCCTTGATTATGACATTATTGTTGATAATGATTACTACATTATTTCCTCCCACTAAGGCTGAACAGATATCCTAACTCCATTCATGTCATGCTGAACGTAAAACGCAGAAACACGTTAAAACACAAAACACAAAACGACTGGATCAGTTTTCAATTTCACCGTTCATGTATGCACATGCTGGTTTGAAAATGAGTGGACTGAGTCATATTAACCTCCTTCTCTCATAATGGTGATCTACTAAGATTCTAGGAAGTGAATTATAAAATTAAAATAAAAATGATGCTAAAAACACAACAGCTGATGGATGGGAGCACTGGGTATAAGCCAACACAGAGATAAATGCAGGGAACCACTAAACTGTGCAGTGCTGTTGCCATGCCTGTGACCTGCCTGACTTGATCCATGAGGGATACCTTGGTTATCTTGGCTTAACTCCATTTCAGTATAATAACTTGTGTTTAGGCACGGTTATTGGTTAGTACTGTTGCCATCATGAGATCGGGTTACTGTCTGTGTGGCGTTTCTGTGCATGTTCTTCCTATGTTTGCATAGATTTCCTCCGGGTTCTCTAGTTGTTAACTGCCTCTGACTCTGGCTGTCTATCAATACTAATTCTTCCTGATCTCAGTGCCGCTTTTGACACCGTAGATCACTATTTTAATCAATCGCTTAGAGACTGTCTTCGGTGTCTTTGATTATGCATTAAACTGGTTTAAGTCCTATCTTTTAAATCGCAAGCAGTTTGTTTTTATGGGTGGTTGCAGGTCTGAGGTTGGTGTGGTGCGGTCTGGCGTTCCCCAGGGATCAGTTTTGGGCCCTTTACTTTTGAGCATATACATTTTTCCACTTGGTCTTAACTTTCACTTTTACGCAGACGACACTCAGATTTATATACATTCAAAACCGGATGTTAATGCAGCTGTGCCTTTCTCTCTCAATGTATCTCTGAGATTTAAAAAAAATGGCTGAAAATTTCCTTCGTCTAAAAGACGGAAGTGATGCTTATTGGTTCACCTCACCAGTTACGCAAAGCTGAGCCCTTAACCTTAAGTGTGGACGGCTCTGTCTTACAATTTCAAACTAAATTAAAAAATCTGGGGGTGCTATTTGATCCCAATTTAACATTTGATCCTCATGTTCGTAACACTGTCAAAACATCTTTTTTTCCATCTCAGACCAGCAAGTGATCGCCGCTCTTCCGAAGCTGGTCTTTTAACTGTTCCATCAACCCGTCTAGGAACAATGGGTGATAGGGCTTTCTCTTCACTGGCTCCAAAACTATGGTATTCCTTATCCTCTGAGATTAGAAGTGCAGAATCTCTTAGTGTTTTTAAATCTTCTCTTATAACATACTTTTTTTAGGGTTGCTTTTATGGGATCCTTGTGATTAATTTGCTTTTATTTATTATTTGCTCTGTTAAGAATGGTTCTTATTTCTATCTTTGGATTTTATCTCTGCTTGTATTTTATTTTCATTGTATCGTTTTAATTTGTATTTCACTGTATCTTAATTTATGTAAAGCACTTTGAGATGCTACTTTAACGTTGCTATATAAAATAAAGTTTATTAGTAGTAGTATTATTAGTATTATTATTATTATTATTATCTTAAGTAACATGCTAGCCATGGGGAGCCTATCCCTGGGGAATACACTTTGGATGAGATGCCAGTCCATCATAGGGCAGCATGCACACACATTCACATACAGGGGCAATTTAGAGTATGCAAATTCACCTCCCAGCACTTTTTCTGGCAGGAAACCAGACAACTCAGAGGACACAGCAGAGGAAATGCAAAACTCCACACAGACAGGAACACGAGTTCAGGCATCACAGTGCCATCAGATTTTACCGCATGCAATATACCTAATACATCCTATATAATAATTTATTTTGCACAAAAGATACACAAGCGCAGGGATGTTGACAAGAACATAAGTTAAAAGCAAACCTTGGCTGGAAAGGGCAGTTTCTTTGCCACTTCTTTAAGCACAGACTCCACTTCCCCAAGTTCAATATGACCTCCGACCTCTACTATCAACCGGCCGCACTTTACAGGTGTAACATAGTGGTCGATGGCACCTTTGCCTCCTCCCATGCGTTGACCTAGGCCTTTCCGAGTAATTGGCTTGTAAGGAGCGTTAATCCGCCAACGGGCAAAGGTGGTACGCGAGTCCATACGCCGATTAATAGTGAGCCTCATCATCTCCATGTGGCCCCAGTGCAGATATCCTCCACCCATAGCCTAGAAAGAGCAATATATTTAAGAAACAAATATTGAGGACAGCTTTACGTGAATGACAATCTAGTAAATTTTACTTGGTGCTCAATATGTAATGAGAAATTTTAGGATTACAAATAAATAGGGCAGATTGACAGGCTGTTGTTATATAATTGTGGGATTATAGAGATTTACATGGAGGGTCTTAGGTGGATTATATTTGCTCAGGCTCCTGTACTCCAAGAATATGGCAGTAATATAATATTGTAACATCACACATTTCACAGTGGTTTCACACCTGAGGTAGACACTGGCATGTAGGTGAACATAGTAAAGTAGCAAAGACAGTGAAGTAGTTATTTGAAGCTGCGAATATGGTTACCAACATGGCTAACCTGGTCTGCCACATTAACGTTTCAAGAAAGAATTTCTGCACACAAAGATGAAAAGACATTACAGACACTATAGTTTCCGATAAAAACAACCCACAGTTGTTATCAAGTAATCAAGCTGAACAGCCAAAAGCAATAAGAAAAACACTATACTAAAAACACTAGCATACAGCAAATGTGATTGAGGAGACAAATCATCCCCATCCAAACACCAGTATTCCCAATACTAATTCCCATTCTCACCCCAAATCCATCACACCATCATCCATCAACATGAGCCTATCACCATAATGCAACGGACTGTTAGGACAGCAGAAAGGATCATTGGTGTGCACCTGCCCAACCTTCAGGACAACTCTAGAGTGAAGAAACGGGCAGCTAACATCATCACAGACTCCTCTCACCCCGACCACAACCTGTTTGCACTTCTCCCTTCAGGCAGACGTTACAGATCTCTGTGCACTAGAATATCTAGGCATAAAAACAGTTACCCCCCCATGCCATCTCCAGCTTAAACGGCTAACACAGGAATCATTACGTGTGTTCTGTAATTCATCCTCCATCTCTAATTGCTGCCTCTTTCTCTAGTATTATGTTAATACATATGCATATCTCTTTATTTATACAGCCGTATATAGAGTAAATAATGCACAAATCTGTACATAAATCTTCTGTTCCGGATTCATACACATTATTATTATTATTTTTTAGTGTTAAGTCTTACTATTTAAATGTCTTTCTGTTCTCATGTAAGATATGTATGCATGTATGTATGTATCAACCTTAAAAAACCACAACACATTCCTTGTGTTTGCGCACACACTTGGCAAATAAAGCTAATTCTGATTCTGATAATGTAAATGTTTTTAATTAAAAATAGAGAAATAGATATTAAGCATGCAATCAATATATTGACAATCTACAGGGAAAAAAGTACTGACCAAAATGCCATACTGTCCCCATCTGAACGTGTTGGCAGAAATGGCTGGACCCTGGATGTCACGTAGCTTCTTCATCTCCTTTTTGGCCTTTTTTAAATTAGGAACCTTATTGAGGAATTTGAGTTTGGGCCTTTCTGGTAAAACCACATCTGTACACGAGACAGTGGAAACAAATAAATAACGAGGTTGAACATGTTTTAATTAAACAGCCGCTGAGATAAAGGTGCTGGAGATAATGTAGTGTCTTCATGTTACACATCCGGGTCAATGGAGGACTAGTGGTTATGCAACGGCACTCTCAACGCTGCGGCCCGGGATCGATTCCCAGCCAGGGAACCGACCCCAGCCCGGATAAGACTGGGGAGGGTCAGGTGTCAGGAAGGGCATCCGGTGTAAAAACTGTGATAAATCAAATATGTGGACCAGTGATCCGCTGTGTGCTCCCCTAACGGGAGCAGCCCAAAGAACAACCTCATGTTACACATCTGAATAATGATATGTAAATGAACTCCATGCCTAGGAACCAACTTCATGCTTAAACTCCCAGCTTGCACTTCTCAGCAAATCCTGTGACATTTGGAAATCTTTTATACAATAACTATAAGATCGGTTAGTTTAAAACAAATGCTCTAAATCCTTATGTATAAAAGGATTACCACTGTAGTCTGGAGGAACATCATACGTCTTCAACCCAGTCGAGAGCACTTTTAAGTCCTGCTGCTGCAGGAAAGCTGAATGTGGCAAAGCAGAGAGAAAAATAGCTCTTATAAAACACTTGGATGCTTGACTTAATAGCGCAAATATCCGTACAAAAATAAGCACGGTTAAACACACAGATGAAACACTGTACATGTCTATAAACTCCATATTACACTCGCTGTGTTCATTTACCTGGCGCTTGTAGCGTCCTGCTCGCCAGCCCTGAAAACACACGCCTAAACACCGAAAACATGACCACTTATAATATTAGAAATATCAAACTATTACATTAATATTCATCTTCTGAGTGGTACACGGTTCTCGTTTTGTCAACATGCATTCAACAAGGTCGCAGCCATCTTTCTTAGGCTACATCCGGTGACGCATTAAAATACGTCCGCTGAAAACCAGGACTGTGGAAGAGTTCCACTTACATACACGGATTTTTTTTTTTCTTTTCCAACCGTAATCTCAAATCATACGCCATAGCTCTCTCATATTAACTACACGAACAAGTCTTCGTGATCTGTAGCCAGATATCATTATTAAACATTTTTACTCATGATTCCTTCATTAAGTCAACTATGAATACATCTGAGAAAACTTAAAAGGTCCTTGCCATCCCTCTCATCAAGCCTATCGTTACTCATAAGCAGGATTTCTGTGCGACTGAACCCTAATTATGATGAGAAATATAAGTTTCAGTCATTTCTGATAACAGAAAGATGATAACTCATAAAAGTCCGAGTCTAAAAGTCTATATTCAGCCTCCAGATTAAGGTGAAGGAAGTGCTTGCTCTGTTAAACACCTGATTTCACTTAGCCATTAGCAAAAGACTAGAAAAGAATCAGGTGTGTTGAGACCAGAAACCATGACTGAGGAACTCTAGCTACTCTCACTTATTGTCTGTTACTTCCTAGAATATTATTCCCAAAGCCCTTTTGTATGCTATTTGGTCCACGTACTGCTCAGGTTATAAAGATGTTGGAGTGTTCTGAAGTAAGCAATAAGACCCCATCAAACTTCCCATATTCTTTCACTGAGGATGGACGTCTCTGCCATATAGACACTCTGAAACCCTACAAGTTCTCATTCCAGCTCAAGGACGTCCAAGCGACTATGAGGGAACATACATCTCTTTGCTGCTACATCTCCCAGCATGTGTACAGCCTCCTTGAAAAAAAGTATAACCTGATCAGGGTGTACCTGGACAAACGGAGCCAATCCGATTCCCATCCTCCTGGTTTCGTCTACATGAGTCCAGGGGCTTTGGAACATCACGGGACTCTGATGGTCCTGATCCAGGATAAAGGCACTATAAGGTGTGGCATGTGGAGTTGGAGAGCTGTAGCCAATGAAGGCCTAGAGACAGGGAGTCAGATCCCATACGTGCGCTGGGCTTTGGGGGAGTCCTGTGCTGTCTTGTTGATGAACCCCAATGAAGGAGCAATGACACCAGAGGAGCATGTGCAACAAGTGTGGGATCAGTTGCTGATGAACAGCACTGCAGAGCAGATCGCAGTAGTGGCACATGGTTACGGAGGCTTAGCTTTTGTTCATCTCCTGTGCTGTCGGTTGGGAGCGATCCAACAGCGGAAGTGTGCTGTGGCCTTCATCGATTCGTCGCACAGCCTATGGCACCAGCCACTTGGAACTTCAGGACGCGATTGGATCAAGGTACATTCCAGTTCATGGGTCCTGAGCAGCGAGCCAAAGAATCGGCTGGTGGGGTATCTCAAGGCAGGGTGCAGGATGATGTCAGCAGGGACGCAGTGCCACGAGACGGCGCCTGCTGTGTGTATGGAATCGATATTCCGTTTCATTGCCAAACTGATGAGGCCTGCAGTCGTACCGACGCCCTTCGGCATTGTTACTAGAAGCAGGAGCCTTGGAGCGAGAAGGCTGAGCGGCACTGACCGAAACAATAATAAATCCTGAATGAGGATGCACTTCTTGTATCTACTTTAATAGGATGATTACATCATTACAACAGTGAAGGCAGTGTGTGATGTTTGGTAGAAATGAGCTTATTAAACAACTTCATGTACAGCATCCAGACAATGTATTTTGTAACTCATTCCATTTTATTTTTTTTAAATAATTTTACAAGTGTACAAATGCTAATTCATTACATTTTATTTAAAAGCAAAAGAATACCATATCATTTCATACATATGAAAACCAGTAATGTAGGAATGACAGCATCTGTTTTCAATCTAAAAAGCATTTCCACAGGAAACAACTAAACTGTCGCTGACATTCATTTGCTTTACAAATAAGACCAAACACCTCATGCTTTATAAAACAGTAATTTTGTCTTCATGTGCTTTTGTAATTTAACCCACATTTCACAAACCCAACCTTCGAATTTGTGGTGAAACAATTTACAACTAAATCCCATGGTAGAGCAGATCATATTTAGGAATATTTCGTGGATCAATAGGGCTTTGCACTATCAGTTTTCCTCTCATGGCACCACGATAGATCACCTCAACAAGGTCAATGAAGTCTTGCTTTGTTTTAAAGCATCCGACAAACTTGGTATGATCTGGAGACCTGGAGGAAATGATACAGGATTACGAAGCTGAACAGAAACTCAAGCACACAGAAATACTCAGTAGGTACTTTATCATATGCATGTTTCCTGTATCTACACTTGTTGGTTGTTTTTTTTTTCTTTCCCTGATAAACCTGCCATAGAGGTTGATTTGTTATCTGGCTGTAACCCTTTTTTTTTTTTTTTACCTTCTAGTCCATCCATAAATTAAAAAAAAAACCACCACAGGCACATCACCCGAAAGAAATCATCTGGCTGGTGGACTATTCTCATCCACACATGCTACTCCTGAGATACCAGTGATCCTGTCCCCTTCTGCTCCTTCTGATCCGGACCTGCCTGATCCATCCTGATGCCCTACTTCTAGTAGAAGTTCTCAACTTGGAAACCACTCAGTGCTGCTGATGGCAGCCCCATATGGATTAAAGATTGATGAGATTAAAGTGGATGGTACCACTTCAAAACCATGAAGATGGCTTTGGACTGCAATTGATATAAACACTTTTGCTACGATAGCTTAGGACTACAACTGCTATGATAGCTTTAGGACTGCAATTCCCATGAATAGTTTTGAACTCAAGTCTCCATCAGTGAACAGTTGATAACTTCAACAACAGACTTCATGTTAAAACTGTAATGAATTTCCAGGTTACACAATTGCACCATGTACTACACAGTTATAGAAGGGAATTAGTTATAATCGCACTATCTGCTGTCACCCAGATGAGGATGGGTTCCCCCGTTTTGAGTCTGGTTCCTCTCACAGTTTCTTCCTCATATCGTCTCAGGGAGTTTTTCCTCGTCAACGTCGCCTCTGGCTTGCTCATTAGGGATAAATTCATAAATTTATATGAAATTGTAAATCCTGAATTTATATATTTCTGTAAAGCTGCTTTGTGACAATGTCCGTTGTCAAGAACACTACACAAATAAAATTGTGAATGGAATGGAATAGTATCCAGACTATCATGTCAGCATGACTGCTGTGCTGAGAAACATCCATCGCCCCAATTCCATGTTCAGCGGTGGTCCTGTGGTGGTTCCTTTTCAGTGCCAGACAACAGGTGAACAGATGGGCTACAGTCAGTCAGTTTACACCTGTATGGGAGGTTTACTGGACTACATGCTCTGTATATTTACTAACCCCTGCTGCTGAGTGGCTTTAATCATTTTGTACTCACCCATAATCGACCTTCATGTGCTGCCCATTGAAGAAGACGACAGTTGAAGGAATGTAACTGATGTCAAAGTATCGGGTATAAACTGGCACTTTATCCACATCCACCAGATAGATGCAAGTCATGTTACTCAGGTCATGGGCGGTTTTGGACAGCTGCCATGAAAACAGAGGCTGTGTTATTGGTGCAGGAGGACACAGGTTGGCTCTGCAGTGTCACAGTGTGCCAGAGAAATTAATACATAAAGAGCTGTTCAGTAAAACACACGAATCAAGCTAGCTAGATTACTAGCACGACTTACAATCTCGTCCAGCTGCATGCAGACCGAGTCTTCATCTCGTCCGAAGCGCAACACCAGCACTTTCTCCGCAACTGTTTTAATGACTTCATCTACATCCTTTTTACACGACAGTTTAGGCAGAAACAAGCTCATAATTTCACGTGTGTTTCGATATCAAACTAGTACCGGACAACGCCGCCACGTCTTCGCCATAGCGCTCTGATTGGGTAATAGTGCAACATCCAGCCAATCATCGCACAGAAGGCGGGATGATTCTTCTTCTTCTTCTTCTTCGGTTTGCTGACGGGCTACAAACCAACGTTAGCGGTGCATACCGCCACCTACTGTACCGGAGTGTGTAACAGCATGACTTTATAAAGAACTTATATTCTGGATATGAAACCTGTCTCGTTTACGTTTTTAAATAAAACCCTTTGAACCTGTACTTGTTTGTCTCGTGTCTGTAACAGACCACTGATGCTCCACTCCTTTCCCTTCACCCCGTCCTTCAGTCTTTCTCTTTCTACAGTGAACTTCCTGCAAACTATCAGCACACGTTCAACAGTTTCCTTTCAACTGCAAATCTCACATTTATCTCACGCTGTCTTTTTCATGGTGAAT